CGTCAGCCCCCTGTCCAGGGCGGCGCTGTTCCCAGTCCTTGCCCAGCGTGGTCCGCCTCGCCTGCACCTGCGCCCTGGGAGGCCTGGTGTGGACCGTCAGTCCCAGCACAGCCAGGAGCAGGGCACCCAGGCTGAGGGCAGCGTGCAGGAGGCGGGGAGCCTGGGAGGGGCAGGGTGGCTTCCTGATGGTTAGAGAAACACATTTAAAAAAGTTGTTCTACAGGGTACGTTGACTCACCTGAAATCACCCACTTTGGGCATGGCCACACTGCAGCCCCTTTTCACCAGTTTATCCATTTTGAGAACATGTGCACACACGCCTGATCTGGGATTTGACCCGCATGGTCAGCCATATGGGATCTGGCTCCCTTTACGACCACCAGGCCGTGGGCCAGCCTGAAAAGTAGTTCTTAATGTTTCCACATACTGTCACGTAAACGATTTCTCCTGGGACTGAAGTCTCCTGAGGAACAACCCCTCCAGGTGTCTGGAGGTACCCTGGCATGCTCCGGATCCACATCACGGAGTCAGTGTGTGACCTGGGATGGTAGCCGGGGTCTGGAGGTACCTTGGCGTGCTCCGGAAGCACATCACGGAGTCAGTGTGTGACCCGGGATGGTAGCCGGGTGGCTGGTTCAGGAGTGTGTGACTGTCAGGCACTCTGCAGCTCCACTCCCCATCGTGGCCCTGTCTGCTTCGTAGAAGGAGGATGGGCTTGTGCCCAAACCACCGTCTTCCGGGGGGGACGAGGAGGAGAAGCCCCAGGGCGAGGCGTCCGAGGACCTGAGTGAGATGGCCCTGGACCCCGAGCTGCTGCTGCTGCGGGACGAGGCAGAGGAGGACTTCGGTAAGTGGCGTGGGCGGTGTGGGAAACTGCTGCCCTCTCAGGGCTGGGAGCTCTCTGGGCTGGACCTTGTGGTCTGTTCTGGGGTTATCTCGGCTTTCTGCAGCAGGAGCAAAGCTGGAGGACTCTGAGGTCCGGTCCGTTGCCTCAAACCAGTCAGAGATGGAGTTCTCTTCCCTTCAGGACATGGTGAGACTCTGGGCCTCTGTGCTAGCGGTGCTTGGCATGGCCTCTGGCTCTGACCAGAAGGATGCTCAGGGCTGGCCTCTCCCTAGGGAGAGCAGACCGTTCTTGGGTGGGTGGGCACGCTCCTGGGTTCCAGAGGATGGCCCCATATCTGTCGGGGTGGGAGGAGAGGTGGCTCATCGTGGAGCCTGCTAGGTCTGGGCAGTGCCCCACGAGGCCGACAGTCCAGGTGCACTGGCTGGTGTCCCCTGCTGGAGACCTGCCCAGGGATGGCGTCAGCCACACTGCGGGTGCTGCTCTCCAGAGGGCTGCATCTTGAGGCCAGGACAGGGCTCAGTGAGCCGCCCCTGTCTCCTGAGCAGCCCAAGGCGCTGGACCCGTCTGCCGTGCTCCCCTTGGACTGCCTCCTGGCCTTCGTGTTCTTCGACGCCAACTGGTGCGGCTACTTGCACCGGCGAGACCTGGAGCGGATCCTCCTCACGCTCGGGCTGCAGCTCAGCGCAGAGCAGGTACCCCTCAGCCCGAGCCCTTTCTAGAAGGCCCTCACACAGGCACAGGCCTGCGTCTAGTCCTGGCCTGGGGGCTCGCACACCACGGGTGCTGTCTGGGTCTATTGCCTGCAGGCCAAGCAGCTGGTGAGCAGGGTGGTGACCCAGAACATCTGCCAGTACCGCAGCCTGCAGTACAGTCGCCAGGAGGCCGCGGATGGCGGGCTGCCCGAGGAGGTGCTCTTCGGTAGGTCCAGTGTGCACTGCCCTTGGGAGGGCAGGCTGCACCCTCTGATGCTGCCCTGACGGCTCCCCTGCCACCAGGAAACCTGGACCTGCTGCCCACCCCTGGGAAAAGCGCCAAGTCATGCCCAGCCCCCCCAGAGCACGAGGGCCTGGTGCCCCACAACGGGAGCCTGATCAACGTGGGCAGCCTGCTGCAGCGCGCAGAGCAGAAGGACAGCGGGCGGCTCTATCTGGAGAACAAGATCCACACGCTGGAGCTGAAGCTGGGTGAGTGGCCCCGGGCGGCCGGCGTGGGGACCCACCCTCAGGCCATGGCCGCGGGCCTCAGGCTCAGTCCCGGGTGAACAGCCAGCGTTCCTTGCAGAGGAGAGCCATAACCGGTTCTCGGCCACGGAGGTCACCAACAAGGCGCTGGCCGCAGAGACGCAGGAGCTACGAGCCCGGCTGGGGGGCGGCC